AAAAAAAAAAGGAGGCTTCAAATATTAGGGGAAAAAAGTCAATCTCTGGACAGCTTTTTGAAGCCATCAGGAAAAAAAGTCATTTCTTCTATCATGAACACACAGTGCTTTGTCTGCAATCCAGGTTTCTCAGCTATTAAGCTACTTGTACGTAAAGATAGTGATCGCCAGCTATGACTTTTGTGTCTCGTTCAGGTTCAAGTTTTCTGTCTTACGTGTGCCTTTAGAAGGTTAAACCCAGAATCTGTCAGATTCTGAAATGTGTGACAGGCTTGCAGTTTGTCCTGTCTCCAAACCTCACATCACTCTGTCCTAGAAGCCCGTCCTGCCAAGAGATGCACAGATTGGGATGAGACGGTATTACGAAAATAAATGAGGCTGAAGACCAAGCAATGGTATAAAATGACTGCTCTCTGCCCAGAGAATGTCGGCTCATGAAGGATAACAAAGGCCAGAGGACGGTGAAAGGCGGGGAGACTCCACTGTCTCCCAGTTTCATTTGCCTGCTGGCCATCAGCGTGGCCATTTCACACAAAAGCACAAGAGCAGCAGAAGCACTTTGCACCCTCAGAGCATAGGCTGCACCGAGCTCTACTTACGCAACCCTCAGTGTCTCCAGCCTCCACAGGGAACGTGCGTGAACAGATACAGCACCACCTTCGTAGTGAACAGTTCTGTTAAAAAAACAAAACAAAACAAAACAAATTTCAATGTTTCATTCTTGGACTCTTATTTATTCCAGCCAATTAAAGAGAGGAACAAATGGGAAGTCTTTGGATAAACAGTAAAAGCTGTACTTTTTGGTAGGAGGGAATATAGCTGGAAATTAGAAACAGCAAAATAATAACAACAGTGATCTGAATACACATTTGATTTAAACACATCCTCTCCTCTTTTACTCCCTCTAATCCCGTTCATTCCCTCTCCCTCCCCCGGCCTTCTCTCTCTCCCCCCTCCTCTCCCTCCCCGCCTCCCCCTCGTTTTCTCCCTCTCCCCTCCCTCCAGTGAACACATTCACCTTACCCATCTAATTTCAGTCCACAGAAGCACTCAGCTATGAGCTCAGGTGTAGTTTAATATATTATATTTCAACACATGCATATGGTTATTTGAAGTTCTAAATTCTATTCTGGATATTTAAAACACTTAGAAGAAATGTAAGAACCCATTAATTTTAATGTTTTAATATAACAACCTGCTAAATGGTGAGACAGAAAAATATAAATATCAACAGAACAGTCTCACACACACAAAGAGAAACTTCTCTGGATGTGCATCACACACACCCAAATTCCAAAGCTCTCATTACAACAGGCTGTTAATATGCCAGACGTGATGCCAAGTAACATACATACTTTATCCAAACTGGTCTCTGTACCAACCCCTTAAGGTTGCTTTAAGGAAACCAAAGCTTGTGCACGTACCACTTACTTCCCGAGGACACACTGCCTCCCTCTCCACTGGGCCTCACACTTCATCCTCTTCAGGGGCTTTTACAGAACAAAACTTTCTCATTTTGATGAGATCCAGTTTACCAATGTTTTCCTCTCATGGACATGCTTTTCATGTCAAGTTTTAAAACTCTGTGATCTCAAAGAGTTTTTCTAAACGCTCTCTAGTTTTGTGTTTTACATTTATGTCCATGACCCATCTGATTAGGGTTTGCATAAAGTGTGAGGCTTAGGCTGCGGTTCTTTTGTTCTGCTCTTTTTGTTCTTTTTTTCCCCTATGGGCATCCATTTGCTCCATATGAATGTCTTTTAAGTCTGGGGGTAAAAATCTCTTCTCATCTTCTTTTTCAGTCAGAAGCAATCTCTCTCTCCCTGGTGTCCAAGATACTAAGCATAACCACCTCCTTGGATTTAGTCTTTAGAGAATAAAAGTCTGGAAGGGAAGGGCCTTGTAGACAACTTAAGCTTTCTGCCAAGTTTCACACCTCCCCTGAGGAGAAAAAAGCACAGGGAATGGTAGTTGCTTAAACTGGGGGAAATAACAGGAAAAATACTGAGAGAAAAACATAAATTAACCTCACAAAAATTACCCCACAGGCAGAAGTTTGCATATTGGCAAGTAAGTGAGTTTTCTATGAAGAATCTATTACATACATCAGATTGTCAAAGATACCCCAAACCACACTGCCAGTTTTGTTTTTCTTTAAACCACCGTCTTCAAGACAGAGGTTCCTGCTATCAGAGAAGGGATTCTTCCCTGCAGAGAGACTTGAGGTCAAGGTGCTTCCAGCAGAGCAGGCTCTCAGCCAAGGACGTGGGACTCACAGGCCTCAAAACAGTGTTCTGTGCACTCAGGTTGGTATGCTGGTTTAGTTGAGTTTTCTTCACCTCTTGACTTGCAAGCTGATAATAACCTTTCAGGAGTTCACCAAAATAACACAAATGGGGCCCTCAAACCCTGCTGAGTTAACCAGAATGGTTCTCAATGCAGGCATCCCACTGCTCTCCTTAAACAACCTACAAGGAAGCGCATGACTTTCTTCCCTCCACTTACTCCTTTCACAAGGACAAAACAGTGAGCATCTGGGTGCAGATTCCCACATACACGTCACTATAAAAGGGGTGCAGGAATGAACAACACGGTCCCGGCTGAAAACTACGCAGAGGAGATAAACACACCGCCAGCAGGGATACTGGACGGCAGTGTGTGACACCATTGGTCTGGGGCAGTTGGGGACATTCTACTACCAACATGTCCTAACTGAGTAAGCCCAGCCCCCAGATATTGAGGATCCACCCATGAACCCTCTGAGAAACAGGAAAATCACTCACACACAATTTCCATTCAGAGCTGATACTGAAGGGCAGTTTCAAAGCAATTATTGGGACAAGAAGCTTGTTTGACTAACTTACAGGCTAACAGAAGCATCACCTCAAAATCTAAGGTCAACAAAGAGTCCTCCTTGCCTGATCTTCCTCAAAGGACAGAATAGTTAAGGTATGTTTTCTACAAGCTAATTTTTAAAAAGACTGTGACTGGCCTCTCCCAAATTAACATTCACTTCTTGCTGGACATAGTGCTGTTGAGATCTTAACAGACTGAGCTCCTTACAGACAGAGGCTGGCTCTCACTCACTTTTTCATAGTCAGCACACACCAAAATGCCTAGGACACACAAGCCCTCAATAAGCATGAAAGGAACTGAGTTACAGCGATTGAAAAGTAGACCCAGGATTAAAAGGTTATTGCAGAGATAAATTTTAAGTGCTTCAGTTTACATATTTCTGCAGTAGATTTCTGCTTGGACACCAGTCTCCTACGTTAAGTGCCAATGGGAGCGTTTGGCTGAGCAGCTGGGCCACAGGCAGGCGCTAAAGCAAGCCACCAGGAACTTCTTCGTACTTCAGAGTACATAGTACTCTGAACTTCTTCACAGTACAGAGAAATGCAGAAGTACATGTCTGAACAGCACGTACAGAAGCACCCCCTATTTACTCAGGGCTGAGTCTGTGATATTTCTACTTAAGTTGCTGCAACAAGGGGAAACAGGTATGTCCTGAGATGGCACGTCTGTGTAAAATGTAAATGAACCATCATGGGTTGAAACAATCAAATCCTCACACTCCATACTAAAAGAATCATATAAATCAGACTAGAGCAGAAAAACAACAAAGCACGTTGTTACTTTTACTTTCCGCTCCATACAGAATATAACAGAATCACAAAGGCATCTGGAAATTAAAAAGAAGAGGAAGCTTTTCTTTTTTTCCTGAAAGATACTGCTTACTTCTAAAGTTAATAAACTAAACGTGGACCAGTGAAAACGGTCTTACACTTTCATCAAGAAAATAATCAAGAGATTTCTCTTTTTTCCCTTCACCACTGACTTTTAACCTACTGTCTCTTTCAATTCACTCTAAGTGCATGAAACACCTCAATTGTTTCTTTCATTTTCACTGAAATCCAGTGGCTCCAATTTCTGTGACTATTTTTAATCCTTTGCCTTCAAAGCTACATTTTTGAAAACAGCACACACTAGCCCAGCCATTTCTTCAGTGTGCAGCTCTAGACCAAGTCAGGCTGCTAAGTCATGACAGACTGAAGCGAGGCCACCGTGCTCTCTGCAATCAGCAAGGAGGCTGAGTTTGCGAGTGAGACTGAATCTCTCTCCAGGGAGAAGAGGCAAAGAGGAGAAAACAGCTCTCCTTCCTAGACCCACTCTTGCAAAACTGTTCAGCAAAGCTAGCCTAGTCCCAAGACCCAGGCTAAAAAGGTATACACAGGGCCTGGAGGGGGAGAGAGAGAGAAGAACGGCTCTTGTAAAATAACCTGACCACTTTGGAGCACAGCAGAGAGTTTTACAAGCTTGCTCCGAGACAGTGACTGCGGGCATACCAACCCTGCAAGGATATCAGTCATCCAGACACGCACACAGACGTACATACACCATGCACCACCTTCTCAGCCAGACTGAGACACTGAATTCATTGTATCAACCCCTCTCGTGCCTTATCAATTATTTACAACTCAGGCTCATTAAAGGGGCATGAAGGCAAAAGCACTGTCATGCTTCCATATGGCATGGCTCTGCCTGCTGAGTCACATTCTGGAACGCAAGTGCAGCGGTTACTTCCAGACTTCATTAGAAGCAATGATCTAATGGTCCTGCTCTTGGAAGTAACAAGACAGAGCAAGCACACAGCGAGACAAGATGGAAACAGGACAGCCTCCCTCACGCTCAAGCGTCCGTGCTCTCTCTCTCTGTGTCTCTCTCTCTAACACACAGGAACCCAGCACTGCCCCACAGCTCTCATCATCACCTACTGTATTTGACCTATGCATGCACGGTCTGCGTGTGCATTTATAAACAAGCATATTTATGTCTATATTGGCACATATCCCCAGTAGAAGTAAATTTCTTGAGAAAAGAGACTTCATAACATTTCAGATACTACCTTAACCCCAGCACCCAGAACACGATACTCATCCCACAAACTGTTATTGAATGAATAAAATTACTTACGAGCTATGTGGTAAAACCTATTTTAACAGACAAATAATGCTTTTCGAAAAATGTTCCTTTAATACCAGTTTCCAAATCAGAGATCCCAAATAATAATTCTGAATAATATTCCCCTTATTTTAATTAATAAATAAATAGTAATAAATATTTTTTAAATATTTCCTTTTAAAACATAATAATTTAAAAGTATAACAAACTTCATGCAGATAGTGCATCCTTAATCCATTAGTAAGTCTGTGCCCGTGAAGGAAATGCCTTTGTTGGTATTTTATTACATTCCCATTAAAATGGACAAAAGTAACAGGATGCAATCCAGAGACAGAAGCTAGAACAGAAAATACTCCTAATATAAAACACTCCACGTCTGAAATAAAATTGGTAATCAAACTGTAAGCCTCCAGAATGAAATCACATCTTTAGAGCAATAATTTAAAAACTGTGTTGCATCTGACAAACCTCCTGCCAACTATCAGAACCTGTCTCTCCTTAATTTATTCTGTCCCACTACTGAAGAGTGTGAGTAAGAACTAAGAAGCATAATCCTGCAGTTAATGCTCAGC